TGGATTATATAAAATTCATGTTTTATATGAATTTCATAAAATTCTGGTATGGATGGTAGATGGTATTATAACCCTCAGCACCTTAGCTCATACATTTTCCAGGCCAAGCCCACCTGTTACGTTTGCAGCGTTAAAGTATGCACTGAGACCAAAAGGGCTTTTCCTGCATTGTTCTAATTATATCATGATGTGTTGTGAGAGACTACAGGAAGTTAATATTCTCTGTCTCAAGCCTTAGATGTTTCTACTGTCACAGAGTTGAATTTTAACTGAGTATCAGTTTGACAGTTGGTTTCTTTTTGAGGCTGTATTTACACCTGCTATTGTTTTAACTGCTCAGTTTATTTTTAAGATGCATGTGGCAGTTACATTTGAAAATGTGGTTTTAAATTTGCATTTACAGATCATATGCCACTGCATACAGATCATATGCAACTGCACTAAAAAGGTTTTTCAAATAAAATTCAGTTTTATTACAGAATGTGCAAAAGAAATTAATCCTTTATGTATATTGAGTGCTAATTTAAAATACTGTTATATTCACAGGAACATTTTTTTAAATCCTCCCAAAATTCAGGATGCTATTTTCCCAGTAAGAATATATTGAATTACTCTTTGGAAATCACTAACATATCTAGATGTGTACTATTTATTTATTTGTATCCCCTCTTTATTATTTTTTACAAATGACTCAAGGCAGCAAACATACCCAATACATCTTCCTCCTTCTATTTTCCCCACAGCAACAACCCTGTGAGGTGGGATGAGCTGAGAGAGAATGACAGGCTCAAAGTCACCCAGCTGGCCTTCATGGCTAAGGTGGGACTTAATCTCATGGTCTCTGCATTCTAGCCTAGTGCCTTAACCACTAGACCAGGGGTAGGCAACCTTGGCTTTATGACTCGTGGACTTCAACTCCCAGAATTCCTGAGCCAGCAGGAATTCTGAGAGTTGAAGTCATAAAAGAGCCAAGGTTGCCTACCCCTGCACTAGACCAAACTGACTCTCTTATGTACCTTCATAATGTTCCTCCAATAGTAAATACTGCTCAACTGTGAAACAGTTGTGAAACATTTATACAGCAATAAGCTCACCTTTCAGAAAATTGATTATGCCGAGCCTGGAAAATTACCAATCAGGAATATTTTAACAGCATACTGCATTGTAAGTCCTGCATTGAGCAGGGACTTGATTAGATGACCCTAACTTTAAAGTATCTTCAAGTTCAATGAGTTTAATTGCCAGGATAAATTGATAAATGTAATACTTCAGATAATGAACTTTGCCCCTAGAAATCTCCCAATTTTCTGACAATTTAACCCTGAAGATCAGACCTTATGGGTATCTTCGCGGACTTCTTTGCTGAAGCGTTTCATCATTCGACGAAGATACGTCTCAAACTCAGCTTGCCGTTTCTCTCTGCAAGATTTCACGCAAATCAAATCGATGAGTTTTATTTAATTATTTCATTTTATTTATATCCTGCCTTTATTACTTTTAGAAATAACTCAAGATGGCAAACATAACTAATATTCCTTCCTCCTCCTATTTTTCCCATAACAATAACCTTGTGAGTTTCTAGCTTAGTGCCTTAACCACTAGACCAAACTGACTCTATGCTATAATGATTTTAGGATGTCTCTTTCTAAATAAGTCCCATTTTGTTGTCCCTGAAGGCTCTTTCAAAAATGGTTGCTGGGAATCTTATTTACTTCAGGCAAAAAACATGAAAAGAGCAGCAAAACCCTAGCAATTTTTTTTTAAAAAAATGCAGCTCTGATTAAGTGCATAAAGCAGTTCTCCATTTCCCATCAGTCTCTTAAAAATGCACAGTCCCCACCCATAATCTAGATTCTGAGCAGTCATTTAAAACAAGAAACCGCAAGGACAACTTAATATATTGTCAGAAGCTGTACACTATATGTGACTCTTGGCTGTGTGAATTCTATTCTTTTATTTGGCAATATGTACTTTGCTTCCTAATGTCATAGGAGTCAATTACAAATAGTCCTAGACTTACAACTGTCCGTTTAACAAGTGTTTGAAGTTATAATAGCTTCAGAAAAATCGACTTATGACCTGTCCTCAAAATTACAACCCTCACACCACTTTCAGGATCACGTGATCACAATTTGGGTGCTTGGCAACTGACTCGCATTTGTTAATAGTTGCATCATCTTGCAGGCACATGGTCACAATTTGTGACCTTCCCAGCTGGCTTCTGACAAATAAAATTAATTGGGGAAGCCAAATTTGCTTAACAACCACATGATTTGCTTAATTGACCACAGTAAAAATGGTTGTAAAATTTGGTCTTGCCATAGGACGACTTGCTTAAGCAATGCATTGCTAAGCAACCAAAATTCTGATCTCAATTCTAGTCAAATGTCAAAACAATACAAAGCAAAATATAACAAGAAATAGTTGTAATAGCCAAAAATAAGAACAGCACAAACAAAATATCAATGAAGGTTACCAAAACCCTCAGCAAGAAAAACTGATTTTTCTTAATCTTAAAAGTATAAGATTAATAATTATAAATAGCAATGGTATTTATAAAACTTGGGGACCAAATTGGAAAAAGAGACCATAGCAAAATCTCAGAAAATCTTTTATATGGATTCTTTCCCTCTAAAAGTCAAATCAATTGTGAAAACCACCAAATATTATTAGGTTATTAATTATTATTTTAAATGTATTGGCCACCCAACTACACTGGGCGTCCACTCTACGTGGATGTCCGCCTACCTTCTCTCTCTCTTCTTTGCTTGTTCAGGTGTTTCAATTTCTATCTCAACAGTTGTGTTGGGCAGCTTTGGTGCCTTAAGTTCTTTCAGCATCTCAATCTCAGGTTCACAAAGTTCTGGAAACAAAGTTCTAAATCTAACCAGGGTGTTTCAAACAGAACTGAACAGTTCCAATTCAGGGCTGCTTCCCATTTGGTTTCAATGACAGAAAATTAAGAAAACACATGAAGGCATAAGGTATTACAACAATTATTTTGCATATTTTGGCAACAGGCTAAGCAATATGTGCCTATATATCTAACAAATATTCTGCCTATCAATCAGGCAAATATCACATTCTTTTATGAATCACTCTTCCCCAACTGGAAGCTCTAATACAGGAGTCTGCAACCTTGATAACTTCAGCTCCCAGAATTCCTTCTGGGAGCTGAAGTTCACAAGTCTTAAAGTTGTCAAGGTTGCAGATCCCTGCTCTAATAGATACTACTGGCTTTGCTGGATTGGGTTTTAGGGAGCTATATTTCCAACATATCTATAAAATATCAGATTAGAGAAGACATCAATAAATGTCTGTTAAGGCACATAGCCCATGTTACATTGGAAATCTAGTATTTAATGCAATATTTTCTTCTGTTCTAACACTAATGCAATATTTTCTTCTGTTCTAACACCAACCCAACAGCCATATCCAGCCCATAAGGAATCATTATTAAATGAGGTAATTAAACAACCTTTTTCAGCATAGAAAATAATGATTATAGAAATGTTATACATAAAATATGGGTTCAGCTTTCACTTATTTCTAGATTTCTAAGGATTTTTATGGGGGGAAGCTAAAGCATAGTTCAGCATCAGAATGAACTTACTACATGTAGCTCTGGATTTGCAACCATTTGTTTAGCATCTATTCAAATTTACAACAGCATGAAAATAGTGACTTACGACCGGTTCTTATGGTAACGTATGACTGTTGCAGCATCTCTTTGGTCATGTGATCAAAATCTGGGAGCTTGGCAACTGGCATTTATTTACAATAGTTGCATTCTTCCTGGGTCATGTGATCACCATTTGCAACTTTCCCAACTGGCTTCTGATAAGTCGATGGGGGAAGCCCAATTTGCTTAACATGAGTTGCTTAACAACCGCAGTGGTTCACTTAACAACCATGGCAAAAAAGGTCATAAAATCAGATACGACTCACTTAATCTTGCCTAGCAACAGGAAGTCTGGTTTCAACTGTGCTCATAGCTCAAGGACTACTTGACCTACTCTTCCTCCCCTTTTTACAATCTTTTTTTTCATTTTTAATTAATCAATTTATGATACCATTTTAGGCCAGATAAACCACAACTAGTGGGAACAGCTCACAAAGTAGTCATTGTAAGGGGAAAAAATGGGTGGTGGGATCACTATGCAGATTGTCTTGAGCTCCTGAATAAAAGACTGGATCTAAATTATTTTTATTTATTTTTCACATTTTTAACCATCCATCTCCCTTAGTGTTCATAAATAAATAAGTAAGTAAGTAAATAAATAAATAAATTTGATTTAAAATTATTATTTAAAATAGTGCTATGTTTTCACTACTTATATCTAAGGATGATCTTTGTGAAAGAGATGGATGATATGCTAAATGAAAGTTTTAGCCACCTCAACTTCCAGAAGGTTCCTTCATCTTATTTGCAACTGAAGAAACAATATAGTTCTCTATAATTTACTTATTTTATTTAATTTGTTACTCTGCAACACCTGGGAAAAAGCTTTTTTAAAAAAGTGAATCAGGCTCAGAGAGGCATAAAAGAAACACAACATTCAATAGATCTGTGATAATCTTTGGATGACTTCAGTATGAAAATAAGCATAAACCACGAGATGCCAAAATAGCCATCAAAAATGAGACAAATGGCTTATTATAGCAGAAAATGAAGAATGTATTACCTTCCACATCTTCCCATTCTTCCTCACTTTCCTCATCCTCATCTTCTCTCTTTGTAATAATTAATTCTTTTTTTGCATCTTTTTTTTTCTTTAAGGGAGTGCTCTGCAAACCACTATTGAATTCAAAAAGAAATATACTACATTTTTTTCTTGTCTCGTGTACTCTGGTTTTTCCCCCCCTGATATGGTAGTAATATTAACCCACTGTTTATTACTTTAGGCAACATAACAAACAGTGTGTAACCAAAGCAGAAAATAAAAACCTCTAAATTCCTTATAGTCATTTCAAAGTGGAAAAAGGTACGAAACTTGAATGAGATAGCTAAATACTTCAGGAGACATAAACAGGCCTCCAAAGAATCTTCACAGGTTAAGTAGGAAGAAGACTGCATGAAATTTAATAGTTACAAATGCAGTATTCTACACTTAGGAAAAACAAACCTAATTTCCAGGCATAAGATTAGGAGATATCTGCTGTGATAACAATAAGTGTGAAAAAGCCACTGCAGTTTAAACTTTGGCAAATAAAAGTTCCAATATATTTTGCATTGGTCAGAATCTGTTTTGGAGTACTCTGTTCAGTTTTGGATACATTTTAAGAGGCCATTCTACTTTTTACAAAAATTAGACCAGAAGAAAAGATAAGTTGATAAGAAATTAAGTCTTATGAGGAGTGATTGAAGGGACTAAGTAAGTTAGTCCTAAAAAACGGCAACTGAGAGGGGATGTAATGGCACTTTCCAAGTATCTGAAGAGTTACCATACCTCTTCAGAATATCAAGTACAGTACTATTATCTATCTTTCCAGTGGTCTGTAATTCCAGAAAAAAATGAGATACTGGTTACCTTTTAGGCAAAAAAACAACAATAAGAGCAGATTAACAACAGGAGATGCTGGGCTCCTGTTTTCTGTTTTCAAGCAGAAGCTAAACAACCACCTCTAAAGATGTTTTATTCTGGATTCCCACACTAAGTAGAGAGTTGCACTACTAGATAGCCTTAATGGACTCTTTCAATTCTAACAATTTATATTTGTATTTTGAAAATGTCTACAAAAACCTTAAAGTTGCTCACCTGCATTTCCCTGCTTTTGGAAGGAAGCCTTGGCTTTCTATACCTCTATTCATTTCCTCCTTGACTTTGGATTTTGGTCTTTTTTCATTGGAATTTTTACGAAGTGCCTGAGGGACATGTTCTTTTTCTCTCGTTTTTCTAGATGGCAATTTGGGCCTAGTTTTTTTCTCAGGTTTTTCATCTTCAAAATCATCTGTATCAAAAATGGAGAAAATTGCAAAAATCACTGGGAAAAAGTAGATTACAAATTTTTTAAGGAACTTTTTAAGCAAAAACCCACTTAATTTCCAATTATCTATTCAAAATTAGGCTGCAAGGATTATAAACTAACAAGATGCTTCCGCTTGAGTGTGTAGAGAACCAGATATATTTTTTATTTTATTCAACACAACATTGTAAATGAACTCTAAAACTGTCTATTAATGACAAAATCTTTTTTTTTATTCTCCTTAAAATTTACTGAATATCCATGGTGCATTAACGGAAACAAAGGCATAATAGTTCAATAACAAAATCAGCAGAAAGCTGTATCCCATTCTGATAGAATAAAAAACTGAAGTCAGCCTTTGTTTTCACTCTTCAGAAAAAAAGAGAGAA